TGGGTGCTGGGGGCCATCTATCCCAGCCACTCTGTGACCTTCCAGAGCCTTGCCACGTCTCTGCTCAGGAACCCTGGTGGCACCACAGTTAAGCACTTGGCTGACTGAAAGGCTGGTCGTTCAGACCCACCCGGCGGCTTCTTGGGGGAAAGACCATGCTTGCCTCCCGTAAAGATTCCTGTCGTCTAGAACCCACGAGGAACCCCGGCAGTGTCGTGGGGACGAGTTGGGTTCTAACTGCAGAGTCAGCAGCTCGAACCACGGTCTGCTCCTCGAGAGAAAGATGAGGTTTCTACTCCCGTGTAGACTGACCGTCTGGGAAACCCACAGGGGGCAGTTCGGCCCTGTCCTATAGGGTCATCATGAGTCAGAATTGACTGAAGGCAAAGAGAGAGCCCGCTGGGACCATGCTCCTCTGCCACGTGGGGGCACGCCAGCCCCCTTCTTGTACAGACGGAGAAGCTGGAGTCCAGAGAGGGGCTATGACGGCTCAGGCCCAGCAGGCCAGTGACAGCATCAGGCCAAGGACTCTCGGCCCCTCCTCTGAGCTGCCCTCTGGGGAGAAAGTTTATAGGTCTGCAGATACCTCTAGCTGAGCCCACAGCCCTGCCTTCTTGAGTCCCTGCACCCGTGGCCCCGGATTCTGCGTTGGGCTGCTACCCAGAGGGCAATCGTTTGTCATCAGCTGAGGCTTCCCACTTCTGCAAAGAGGTACAGGCTTGGACACCCGAAGGGACAGGTCTGCCCTGCCCTAGGGGGATGCTCTGAACTGGAATCGACTGGATGGCAGTGTGTTTTGTTTTGCATTTCAGTGACCAGAACCTCCCCTCAGCCTTGGGCCTGGCTCTGCCTGCTGGGAGGCACCTTCACAGCCAGGGCAGGGCGGGACAGCAAGTGCTCACCCGATGAATGATGGGGGGCTCTGGAAGAGCCTGCTACCTTCTGACTTTGGGGAGCGGCGCTGGCTGATCCCTGAGTGGGGCTGGGAGCCAGCCGGGGCCCCGCCCTCAGCTCAGTCATTAGTGCAAAACACACCTCTGACCGCAGGCATTGGAGATCAAAAGAGGCAAAAAAAGCCTTTTAAGCGCCAGGCCTGTGGGTGCTGCCACACAGCCCAACTGCGGCTCCAGGGTGGCTTTTGCAGCTTCCTCGGGGGTGCTGGGAAGGCAGCCTCCGAGAGCAGACTTGGGCTCCTGAGAGAAGCACCTGCAGGTGGGTGCTCAGGCTCTGGGTCAGCCAAGGAGCACCCCATCTCCTAGGCTGTCATGGGTGGGGAAGGACCCTTGGGGCATTAGAGGCTTTCTGGAACCCACGTGCCGGGGCTCTGACGGTCACCACCTCCTACCGTCTCATAACACCCCTGTGAAGCGGGCTCCTCCTCTGTCCCCCCACGGACTGGACAGGGGATAGAGGCTCTGAGAGGGCCTCTTAGCTCAGGTATGGTGGAACAGACATTCAGAAAACCAGGTCAGCTGCGATACGCTCCCACGACCTGGCAGGACAAGTGGTCAACATTGTCCTCTACTAACCACAAAGTTAGCCGTTCCATTCCACCCAGGGTTCCACTGAAGAAAGGCCGGGTGATCGATGCCCTGAATCTCAGCTCTACTCCGACACGAGGTCCCCATGAATCCAGGTCCACTTGCCGGCGGATAGCTGGGGACCCCAGAAGCTGATAGAGCTGAAGAAGCTTAGTCTGACCAAGTTGCAAACTGAAGCCAGGCACCCACTTCTGGTCACCTTGTAAGCCTTAGCAGGTCCCGGCTGGTCATCACTTGACCTTGAACAGGGCCTGTCACTTTCCCTCAGTATATTGGTCCCCGGGGGCACCATGCCAGCCACACCACTCTCACCCT